CTCTCCTCTCTTCTCTCTCCTCTCTCCTCTCTCCTCTCTCCTCTCTCCTTCTCTCTCTGTCCCTTAAGGCACTACCGAAACTTTCTAAAGGAACGCATAATTGGAGCAAATTTATCACTTTCGTCAAGAACTTCTATTTATGAAGCACTAGACACTTCTCACTTATTTTTGTTTATTTGGTAATTTTTGATTTCAGCTCTGTTATGGCGTTTACAGTCGTACTTCTCCATCACGAACGATGGGTCGTGCTACGTCGAATGTTTCTTCTCGGTGCGATTATGTACGGGTTGCGAGCTGTGGTTTTGGGAGTAAGTTAAACGGGATAGCTTCTTGATTTAGAGTTATGACATTTTCTACTTCGATCACTTCAAATTTAGTTCTTGAATAACTTCAAATTCCATAAATTTGGTGACATTTAATTGAGGATAGCATCTTCCAATCAAAATGTGTTCAGGTTACTTTCCTTCCTCCATCGTTCCATGATCGGGATGAGATTTGTCTCTCGCAAGTAAACCGCTCGGCTATGTATGGTATGGAAATTGCAACCAGGTAGGAACCGTCACAGGTTTTTTTTCTCATCCATGAGCTCCTGTGCTCTCACTGAGTTTGGTTTGATCAAACTGAGGCTTCCTTTTGTGTAATTTTAAGTCTTAATATTTGAGGAAAAATTTTATTGGGAATGAGAAAATTTAAGTTTGTAATTGAACGGTTCCTTTTGATGTAACGTCTGTCTCCTCGTCACGCGGAGCACTCATCCATCATTTCGCACGTTATCTTTGTCTTCTACTTTCCATGTGGAGTGAATGTCTGCTACGCACACGATGTGGATAACAGTCACAAGGAAGGAAATAATTCTAATGGCATAGTTTTCTATTACGGTATGTGCTCTTGTGTTGCGGTTTTAACCTTGAGGCGCGCAAACGGCTGCTTCTGCGCGCTTCATTGCCGTAAACGCAGCACGGATTGCTGTTAGAAAACCATGCCATTAGCGTTAATTCCTTTCCTGTATAACAGTCTCAGGTGCCCATTTCTTCACGTTGCTCTAACCAAATGAGTCAAACTTGATTCTCTTTGCTTTTGTGTCTCATCTGATAGATAGTACCTTATTTGCCCGACTAAAGATCACATATATATGAGGTTACATAGCTGCGCGTGGCAAGGTGATCAATGCCTGAAGTCGTCCATAAAAATGTAATCAGTTTATTCAGTGTGATGAAAGGTGTATATCGTCGAAAGGCCGCGAGCAGGGGAACTCAGCCGCGATTTCAATGATTTTTTTCTTAGAACAGTTATTAAATCTTCTATTGGCCCTTGAAAAAAAAAACTG